GTTGACCCGGCCCGGCCCGACCCGAAAATTTAATCTTTGACATAAGCAACTAAAATTAGTAAACTAACCAAAGCTTAACTACTGACTTCTAACTATCCTTACTAGAGGCCTGACAATTTGGGGGCCCGGTTCTAAATTTCAATCGGGGCCTCTTAATCAATCTTAAGAAGAAACTAATAATTGATTTAATTTTATAATACTAGATTCAAAAAAACGATTTAATACTACCCCCATCAACTAAAAAGCTATTTAGCCAAAATGTTTAAGCATTTTCTGATAAAATTGAATTAACCACAAATAACAAGAGAACGAGCTTACCACTAAGATCTGGAGCAACACTAGTGGCAGGAAGGGCACCACGTACAGATGGTCTAGCTTCTGCAATCTTGATGGAAAACCTTCTACTTGTTTCAAAAAAAATAATTAAAATTTGATAAAATAAATTAAAATAATTAAAAGGGAGATAAATTGAAATTGTGGATATATATACATATTACCTAATATCTCACTGCCTCAACATCAAAAGAGGAGAATGAAGCTTTTCTATAAGAAATTGAAGAATCTTTAATTCTTGATGAGGTGCTGAGCAGTTGGATCTTTTCTACAAGAGGGAAGTCGAATTTCGCCCTAATTTGATGAGATCTAGTCGTTGCATCTTCACAAACCAAATAACACCATAAAACCCCACTAACGTCGCCCGACTCCTAATTTGATGAGCTCCGATCTATGATACTATGCCCGACTCCAAAACTTAACGACGACGACGACGAGGAGGAGGAGGCAAGCAAAAGCTTTTTTTTTATTTGTTTGTTGTTTTTGCTAAAAAGAGGCGAAAGACGCCAGTCACTGATCTATGAGCGAAAAATGGAAGAAAAAGAAAAAAGATAAAACCCTAAATTGATTTAATTGCGGAAGCGGAAAGGGCGATGGGGAAGCAGAAAGGACGTCTTCGAGGGCCAGCGATGAGGACGAGAATGGGAACTCGAGGAACATTGATGCAAGTTTATATTTTAACCCCCGATTTAATTGCGCGATTTGGGGGGTCCCCCAAGTGAGGGGCCCCCCAAGTGGGGGGCCCTGTTCTGCGGAACTGGAAGAACCGGTTCAGCGGCGCCTCTGATCCTTACACAAACTCTTACAAATAATAAGGAAGAAAACAATGAGTTGTACTTGTATCACATAAATGATTAGTCCTTCTCTCACTCTTCTTCAACAGTCGAGAAAGCGATCCTCCACCCATCGAAGAAGAGCTAACAAGGCACATCTCCAATCGCCACATCTCGACATAGTCATCTGGAACAAGCACAAAGTAGAGATTTCCACCGAACTCATCCATGACCCAACCAAAGTTCAAACGATATCCAGCTATATGCTTGGTACGACTGATAATATCCCTCGGAATCTCAAACACTCTCGAAAACTCAAATAAAATCAAGCCACTAACTAATGACTTAATAGATTAAAAATAAAATTAATATACTTTATAAATTAAAAAAATGTTAAAACCCACGGGTTGGCCCACGACCTGTGGGTTGTGGGCTGGGTCCAACCCGGCTCACCCCTAGGCGGGTCGTAGGCCTAGACCCATGATCAGAGAAATATGCACGAACTCGGGTCAGACCCGGCCCGGACTTGAAGTCGGGGGGCGAGGTCATGGACCCGAACCGGCCCGGCCCACGCCCAGCCCTATGTTCAGATAATAAGATACATATTTAATATTTGCATGTCGGCAAATTCACTATCAGTTAACAATTTAACGAGGAATAAGTTTTTCTTTTGTTTGTAAAGCCACTATGAATATTTAATTTTTATTAACTGCTTTAAAATTATAATTTTGTAAATTTCAATATTCAAAAATTAGAAAGATTCTACAACCCCAGAACTTCATAAAAAGTAAACGGAAGTCCACCGAACCCAGAAACAAGCGAGCAAACCCTTTTCAAATTTACTTCCCATTTCAATACAAATCACATTCATCCTTTTCAATTCCCAATTCTCCTCTTTCAACCATTAATAAAGACTAAAATCCAACCCCATTCATAATCCTCTCGCTTATGACATTGACTTCCGAAAAAAAAGGAATAAATAGTAAACAGCTGTTCTTTTCTACCCTCTGAATTTGCTTTAAAAACCCACCTCCTCTTCTTAAATCCTTCACCGAGTCATCATCTTCTATCTTAATTCCTCTCTCCTCTGTTTATTTCTTTGAATTAGTGATGAATTCTTTGGTTGCCACAAGTAGAAACTTTCGCAAGGCCGCAAGGATCCTTGGGCTTGATGCTAAGCTTGAGAAGAGCCTTTTGATCCCTTTTAGGGAGATTAAGGTGGACAATATTTGATGGGTTTCTTTGATTTCATGTTTTTGGATTTGGGTTTTGTTTAATTTTGATTTTTGTTTTGTGGGTTGTTTTTGTATTGTAGGTGGAGTGTACTATTCCAAAAGATGATGGGAGTTTGGCTTCCTTTGTCGGGTTTCGGGTTCAGCATGATAATGCCCGTGGACCCATGAAGGGTGGGATCCGATATCATCCTGAGGTGAGGTTCTTCTTCATGATTAGTTGGTGATTAATTGGTCAATTTTGATTGAATTTTGGGTTTTATTGTAGCAATAACTAGTCATGTTTAAAAGCTTTTCTTGACAATGTTGAAAATTTTGTTCAATTTTGTAGATATGCATCAATCTTATTGGCTAACTATAACTCCCTCCATGATGTCATTAATTAAAACTGTTCAATGTGAATTATTGTTGCTGAAATTTACAGAATAATTGAGATTGTTAATGTACTTCTTGAAGTATTTTCAAGCAGTGAGCTTTGCTACAGGGACCCAAAATATGAGGTCAATAGGGGGACAAGTGAGGTGTCCACCTTCTATTGGATAATGAGTTGGCCATCATTAATGATGGCCAACTCATTATCCAATAGGAGGAGGACATCTCAATTGTCTCCCCTAATGGTCCTATATTTTGGGTCCCTGTGAAATTTTTTATTATGAACTTTGCTACATGGACCCAAAATATGAGATCAATAGAGGAGACAAGTGAGGTGTCCCCCTCCTATTAGATAATGAGTTGGCCATCATTAATAATGGCCAACTCATTATCCAATAGGAGGGGGACACCTTAATTGTTCCCCCTATTGGTCCCATATTTTGGGTCCCTGAGGAATTTTTTATTATGAGCTTTGCTACAGGGACCCAAAATATCTCTCAAGGTCTTAAAATTTCTCTCATTGTCATGTTAACTTAAAAATTCTCTCAAGGTCTTTTTTCATATTTGGAATCTTTAGTGTCCGTTCTTTGGCTATTTTTTATCATTTGCTACTTGGTTTTTGACTCTTGAAAACAATATCTTGAGTAGATAATGCAAAGTTGACATACTGATGGCCTTTGTGATTCATACTTGCTATAGTTCTACATATTTAAGAGATTTTGTTGCCTATTTTCCCAATATCTTTTGTTTTTAACCCTTGAAAACAATATCTTGAGTAGATTATAGAATAGATAGAGGAAAATGTTATCTCCATAAGGGTCATAAGGGTTATGTGATGGCGTTTGTGACACATATTTGCTTTACTTCTACATATTTAAGAGATGTTCTTACCTATTTACCCAAAAGATGAATAAAAAAAGAATTATTAGCAGCATAGTGTTGTTTATTTTGTTGGCTGCTTGTTCTTTCTTGTTTTTAGTTGTGGGCATTTCTATTTTTTGTTTGCACTTTGTTTTTATTCATGTCTTTGCAAATATCTTCTAATTCTTGTTTAGTATTTAATATAGGCAGTCTATTAGGTTTTTAATGGGACTTAAATATAGATGATCTATTTTTTTATTTAGTATCTTTATGCTTATTTCTTGAACTAAGAAAGGACAAGCTATTGCTCTTTCTGATTTCATGAAATTTTATCATAGATGACATTTTACCTTGTCCAGTGTTTTCTTCTTCTTTGTTACCTTGTGCCTTTGAATATTAATAATGTGACTTGAGTTTTGACTTAGATGATTTCTTAAATAATTTATAGTGTTTTAGAAGTCAAAAGTGAAATGAACTCTTCAAATTTTCAGCCATCAAAATAAGTTTAGGAATTTACATCATCAACAGAAGATTCCAAGAGCTTAGTCGTAATGAAATCAATATTTAATGGAATATTAATCTAACGGTCAAATTTGATCTAGAGGACCAAAATTTGTTAATGTTGATGCATGGCACTTTACCTTGTCCAGTGTTTTCTTCCTCCTTCTAACCATGCGCCGGTGAATATTAACAATCTGACTTGCGTTTTCACTTACAAAATTTCTTCAGTAATTTATAGTTTGTTAGAATTCAAAAGCAAACTGTGTTCTTCAAAATTTCAGCCCTGGAAATAAGTTTAGAATTTACATCAACAGAAGATTTCAAGAGCTTAGCAAATATTGAAATCAATACTTAATGGAATACTAACTTAAGAGTTAAATTTAATCTAGAGGAGAAAATTTTAAAATCTGTTAATTTTGATACAATATTTTTGTTATAACACCTAAGGCACACTTTGCTTTTTTCCTTTAATCTCAAACATGTCACAACAACCAGTTATCTTTATTAATCATAGTTTTAAAAAATGGTCTAGGCGTCCACGTAGGCTTTTTTCCTTTAATCTCAAACATGTCACAACAACCAGTTATCTTTATTGATCATAGTTTAAAAAAATGGACCATTATGTGGAATGTAAAGCTTTAAGTCGTGGTCTGATTTCTTGTGTTTCCGCCTTCACATCCCCCAAGCTCCCTAGCTTTTTCCGTCAACTCTGAACACCTAATCTACTTCCACCAACCTTCAACAAACTCTCCTCCACCACCAGTTTTTTTTAAGGGTCTAGGCACTGGCAGTGCTTAGCATTTTCTATAATCTTGCTATTAATAGGGAGAAAATGACTAGCACCTTGGTATATTTCTCTGTCCCTGGAATATGAAAGACTAGAATAGAAACAATATAGCAGCTGGCTCAATTCGGCCTAGTGGCTAAGAGGTACAAGGTATAGGTATTTACAACCTAGTATTTACAGGAACTTAACCCAGGATTGATTTGGACAATTTGGTGCTGTTTATTGTGTAGTTTGGCTTCAGGGAAGTAAGGCTAATGTAACAAGGGAGCTACTGGTCTATTATAGGCACAAGGGAACTTACCTTTTAGCTCATTATCAAACAAGGATATGAATCTGAATTTGGTCCTGGAATCAAGATTTGGCTGCATGTACTACCAGGATATATCTCCTACCAACACCTAGTTCTCAGGCCCTGATACCAGGATGTTTCAATCCATATCACCAATCATTTTTATGTATGTTAGTGTTTGCATATGACTGCTATCCACTTTGGACTTCCATATAAGTTTATGTAAGAAGTATGAAGAGGTACGAATCTTTTAATTCATGTCTGGATATCATGACTTTCCTTTTAGGAAGTAGCTCATGTACTCTTATGCTTCTTACCATCTAAGTTTTCTGCACCAATTAACTAGTTTCTGTTGAAATTTACTTTCTTCCCTCTCCCTCACCTAGTCTTCCGAGGTTTAATGAGAGAATGGAAATTGTTTTATTTAGTTGCTATATTGATAGATCTCTACCTTTGAAAATATGCATATATGGATGTATATATGTATTTATATAACTTGTATTGCTTATATTGCTAGTGCTGGATTCTGAAGCATTTGTGTAATTGCTTTTGAAGGTTGACCCTGATGAAGTAAACGCTCTTGCTCAACTGATGACTTGGAAAACAGCGGTAGCAGACATACCATATGGTGGGGCTAAAGGAGGGATTGGATGTGCTCCTGGTGAATTAAGTAACAGTGAGTTGGAACGCCTTACTCGTATTTTTACACAGAAAATTCATGACCTTATCGGTATCCATACTGATGTTCCTGCTCCTGATATGGGAACTAATGCACAGGTACTACCCGTGCATCTATGATTTATTCTTTCCTTGATTTTCATTTGCTATGTTTTTTTCCTTACATAATGCTTTTGATAGACTATGGCATGGATTTTAGATGAGTATTCTAAATTCCATGGCTACTCACCAGCTGTCGTTACAGGAAAGCCAATAGTAAGTAATGAAGCTTTGCAAATATATGTCCAACTTTGATTCAATTTTGAAGCTGAGACATATGAGCCAACTATTTCCCATTTTCATTGTCTATTTCTAGGATCTTGGTGGTTCATTGGGTAGAGATGCTGCTACTGGACGAGGTGTTGTATTTGCGACCGAGGCTCTATTGGCAGAGTATGGAAAGTCTATTTCAGGATTAACATTTGTGATTCAGGTGAATCTTTTTGTTGATTGTGTTTTGTTGTACATAACTTATTGTATGGGTTTATATTGTATGGGTTTATGCCCAATCATTCCTTCACTAGATAAGTACTTGCACTCAGAACTTCATATTAAGTCTTAACAAATATCAATCATAGGCTACTATATTTATCTCCTGCTTTTGTTGAGAATAATTATCTATATTTATCATTAATATATCTCATCATAGTTGAAAGGGCTAATTACAGATAAAACCTTCGTAGTTCTATTGTTGTTGATAGACCCTTAAGTGATTTTTTTTAAACTTATACCTCGGGAGGTCTATTTTGTAAAAACAATCTTCTCTCTGTAAGGGTAAAGGAGTTAAAAAAATCACTTAGGTTAGGGGTATATTTGCAACAATAGAACTATATGGGTTTATCCACAATTGGGTGATAGTACACAGGACCAATCCACAACTAACCCTAATTGCAAAGGTAAGGTCATACATTTTTGGGCATTCCGGTGTGCTACTCAAAACTTTGCTCTTTGGAATGTCTTTAGGGCTTTGGAAATGTGGGTTCATGGGCTGCACAACTCATTCACGAGAGAGGAGGTAAAGTTATCGCAATTGGAGATGTGTCAGGTGCGATAAAGAATTCAAATGGCATAGATATTCCTGCGTTAGTTAAGCATAAATCTGGGGGCGGTGTGTTGAAGGATTTCCGAGGTTCAGATGCCTTCGACCCAAAAGAACTGCTCGTGCATGAATGTGATGTTCTCTTGCCTTGTGCATTGGGTGGAGTCCTTCACAGGTATATTTTCTTTAGGAAATAAGGCGTTTTAGCCTATTTTACTAATTAGAGATCGCACGTGTTTATCTTGTCGGTAGCTTTTCTATTATTTTGTCTACTTTGGTTAGAATGTGCATTTTTTAAGAAAGAGGGTCCATTTGCTACATTTCATTGTTTATATTGAAGGGTGTAACCTCATAAATTTCGTGTTGTATAGCCGGGTCATTTCTTTTTCCTGTCATTAGATAATAATAAATGTTTAGTTCCTTTGTTGATCCAGGAATTTGGCTTTCAGGTCTCTCAGCTTATTTTTTCCATATGATATTCATGTACTTGTTTTAGCCAAACATCGTATCGTTGAGATCTGATCTCCTCTTGATTTTTACCCATATGTTCCTTTAATGATGAAAGCTAAGCTATAATTTTTTATTCAAGGATTTAATTCTAGTTAAAATTGTTCACCGGTGATGTGGTTGACATATTACTAAAACTTTGAGATGTTTCTATCTTTTGCTAAAGGGAAAATGCTGCTGATGTGAAGGCAAAATATATAATAGAAGCCGCCAATCATCCAACTGATCCTGAAGCAGATGAGGTGTACCATCAGCGCTATATATGTCAGAAGCTATATTTATCAAATTGTTGAACCTTCTTATAATTTTTCAATATTTATGGTGCAGATACTATCTAAAAAAGGAGTGGTTATATTACCCGACATATATGCCAATGCCGGTGGTGTGATTGTTAGTTACTTTGAATGGGTTCAGGTATGAGAACATGAAGTTGATATGTGTTGTTTCTTTTGTTTTACGTGATTCTTGTTTTTTTTTTTTTTTTGTTTCCCCTAAATGAAGTTTCCTAATTTCTTGATGTTGATAGAATATCCAAGGGTTCATGTGGGATGAAGAGAAGGTCAACGCCGAGCTTCAAAAGTATATGAGGAGTGCTTTCAAGAATATTAAGGGAATGTGTCAGTCTCATGACTGCAGTCTCAGGATGGGGGCTTTTACGTTGGGGGTGAATCGAGTTGCTCGTGCCACTATGTTGAGAGGTTGGGAAGGGTAACAAAAATAACAAATATTCGTTTGCTCCCCCATTCAAATTCCTTAAGACGATAGGAAATAGAAGAATTTTCTTTGTTATACCATTTGTTTCTTTTTATCCCCAGAACTTATCAAAATAAACAGTCAGAAAGTAGATCTGTAGATGGCGTTTATGTTTGTTCTTTGTATTGAAATTGCATTGTGATATCAGTGGAAATTGAAATTGCCTTTGGGGCTTGTCACAAAACCCCCAAACATTTGCATTTTTTCCAACATACCCTCTTAACAGCATAATGGCGATTTTCTGAAACATCAAAAATTCATGGGAGTTTTTTGAAAATGTTGTCAAATTTTGGGTTTTCCAAAAAATACTGTTGAAAGCCTGGGTTACAAAGTTTAGGGTGGTATCTCAAAATAGCCAAACTTTAGGATGGTTATGTGAAATTTACCCAGAGAAAGAGGTAGGGTGTACAATAACACAAAAGTAAAGATCAATATCAGGTACAAGGAATCAATTTAGGCCAACTTCAATGTACTTCATATGTATCAAGCTCCAATTAAATTAGACAGGCATCACCAACTTCCTAAACAAGCAACAAGCTCACATTTTCCAAAACCATCAAAGGATAACAACTTAAGGGACAATTTCACACTTCAATGAAGATTTGGATGCATCTGCTCAAAAGGAAACACTAGGAAAAACATTACAAAAGAAAAGCAGGAAAATGGAAGCATAGGTGAACAAAGTTTAGGTTTTATTTTTCTTGGCACCAGTAGAGTCATCTTCTTGCCAAGTTGCTTGCCACTGCTTATCATAGAACGTCGTTTCGTCGAGGAGCTTCTTCAGGGTTTCAATATCCTCATTCTTTCTTATTAGCAGAACTCCTGATACAGCAATGAAAAGTAGGGTTTTGCAGAAGAAATTTCCCATTTGATCAACAAGTCCTACGCCCGTCAAGCTATCCACAAAATAAGCCATGAAAAAACCGATCATTGCAGCTCGTCCTGCATATATTCAGTACCATATTAGGTTCAAGAAGAATAAGGTCGTACGAAGTTAAAAATGGATGGTGAAATTATTAAGCTCTTATGGTCTAATTACATAGGAGATATTTGGAGGTCTACTTTCTTTAGGAGATTGCAGAAAGTTCTCTCTTCGGGATTTAGTGTAAATAAATGAAGGGTTAATTGCACAGACTGCTTGTAGTATCATCGTTTCGAATCCTTGTAGTTTCATCATTGCAGATAGACCCCCTGGACTTACCCTCAGATAGACTCATCAATTTCACCTAGAGAAAATATATGCCAAAATTTCACCGAGGGAAAAGGGTCTAGCAAATTTCACAGTTTTCACCCATGGAGTCCATCTGCAACAATGAAACTATAAGGGTAGGAAGTTCAAAACAGCAATACTACAGAGGGTCTATGTGCAATTAACCATTAAATGAAATAATAGTCTTTTCCCCGCCTCTTCTCACATTTCTTATTTTTAAACATCATATGCAATAAGAATCAACATAAGATGAGATGTAGAAGCCAACCATTGAGTAGTTCAGCTTCAGGAAGATGATATCTTTTGATCCATGCCCACCAGGGTATTATTGATGAATCAAAGACTACAGGCTCATCGTTACTCGATGCTTCAGGAGTTTCTTGCAGCCATTTCCTTCTCCTAGCCTCTGCCGAGAATATGAATTTCTTAATAAGAGTTGGAAGACTTGACTTTTGTATATACTAAAAAAAGGAAAATCAAACATAAACATTAACCTTCATATATTCCATATTAGAAAGAACTGTCAAATGGAATGATAAGAAATAGTAATTGACAAGGAAATGTTGGACAAAGATGAATGGATGCTCATTTCGACAATGATTAAGAGCTTGAGGTATTGATTGTCTTGCTTTATAACTTAATTATTGGTTACTATGATGATTTTGTTGTTATCCTCTTTCAGGTTAACACTTGCCTATTAATGTTCACAAAACTGCTGCTTGAGATGATTCTTTCCAGTACTTTCCACCTACCAGTTTGATTTCTTCCATCATGTGTCTTCTCTTTTTAACTCGGTATAAAACAAAATCATTACCACTTAGAACATACAAATTGTGGTCTACCATTAAGCTCTATCTCCTAGTGCATCTTCACTTGGTGTTCAATATCAACTTTTTGTTGATGAATCTACAAAGAACCCTGTTCTTGTTGTAACAAGGATTTCAAGCAAGCTCCTCAGCTTGGTGACAACTCCTTACAGAGTATGCTTTTAATATTGAAACTTGCATTCTTATATACCAGTCACATTTTTTGAGCCATTTTCAACATTGAATGGGGACCTAATATTGATATCAACAGCCTCTCTATGACTTGACCTGCACAGAATATGATGCAAAGATTTCTCAATTTGGGCATTAGCCTTTCATGCCAAATTAGGAGGTTAGCAGCTTTTTATTTTTGCTAAAAGCAACTATCATCCAAAATAAAATCTGCTCTCTGCCAATTATTGATCCATCAATGACCAATGCCTTACTAAGAATCCATAGTATAACTCTGGCATCTTTTATAGCAGCATGGTGCTGTTCTTGACTACAGCTCCACTTTATACATATCCTACCAATAGCCCACAATCTCCATCCATCGCTTAAATTGCAGATCATAACTAAGAAGCATTTATATGGTAGTACAGAACAAAATATACTGCAACTCACTTTTCCGCAATTGTTAAAGCTAGTTAAAAGTCCCCTTCGGTTAACTTAAGCAGGACAGCATCGTTTTTCAATCAATTAAAAACTTAGTTTGTTCGCATTTTTGTGAACTTGGCTCCTCTGTGAATGTATAACCCCAGATTTGTTATTATTAAACTCATCTTTTGAACTCAATCACAAATGCTGTCTTTGCTAAATTTGTTTTTCCATCTAGCCTTGTTGCATGCTGGAAACATAATCTCACCACAAGTTTGATACTAATGTGGCACTTTTAAGAGACGTGTTTGTATACATTACAACGTGCACGCTCCTTATGTTTCTAACTGGGGCATCATAGATTTTCTGCATGACTTCTTGCATGGTATACACTGAATGCAGATTTAAGCATATCTGAATGGTGAAATTTTATTTGGGAGACTGTTGCAACTATTTTGAAACTATTTTGCACAAAACTCGCAATGATGATCGCATCAGCTCCGATATTTCTCAACAAATCTGAAAAGGATAAAAGGTAATATCTTGCTTTTCAACCCAAGTTACTTGCTAAATCTTCTATAACAATGTGACAGCCATAAGATCAAGGTATACTCTTCTAACTATACATCATAATTCATGGCACAAACATTAGATTTCAACAGTTACATGTAACTTGCTGAGTAACATTGATTTGCCAATTGACCTTCACAAATTGTATACATATCCAACCGTAATATGAGCTCAGTACGACGGAACCCAAGTCAAAATAGAAACTTAAGGCAAAACATAAACGAACATGGATGCATGAATCCTTACTAACGCTAAAATAAACTACAATTGCTTCATAATTGTTCTCTAATCTATGACATCTAAATGATACTATGGAAAGAAAAGTTCAGTCACAAATGGAAGCAAGAGAAAACAACTAGACCTAATTTAAAAAAAGGGGGGAAATTTGCAATATGCAATCTTCAGCCGGGGGAAAACCCAAATGTATTAGCATCTTCATCACACAATAAAACCGAGAAATTGGAAGAAAAAAAAAAGCAATGTTGATTAAAGAAATCAAACCAGCATCAATGACAGCATCCCAATCAGTGCTCCCATTCTTCTCAAACTGCTTCAGATCCCAATTCCCCTTCACCCATCTCGGATCCTTGAACGACGAAGAAGCCTCCCCCTTCAAAGAAACCCCATTAGCCCCCAAACCCTGTTCTTCTTCTTCCTTTAGACCCAAATTAGACTTCTGGGCTTCTTCCTTCTTCTCCAATTTCTCCTCCACTACTGAAGCAGAGCCCACAGACCCAGCTCCATTATCTCCAGCAGACCTCAACAGAACCAAAGATTGGGACTTTCTGAGGAAAAGGGTGAGTTGGGTTTTGGTGGAGAGGTGGGCTTTTGATGATAAGGTGAAGAGAGTAGTAGGGGGAGATGGAGAGAATAAGGCCATTGAGATCAATTTCTAGTTCGAATTTTGAGGGGAAAAAAACTATATCATGCTAGTTTCTTTCTCTGTTATCTGGGTTTTCCTCTTAGCTGAGGATAACTCTGCACCCCAGAAGAATGAGATGAAGGGGAATGGGAGTGATGAAGTTAGGGATGGGAGTGGGAGAAGTAGCCAAATAAGGAAATTTTCAAAATAGACCCAATCTACACTTTATTTCAAAATTCGACCCTGTCCTATCTTTATTATATAGAAATCCACCCAGTTTTTGGTCATAATGTCTGCATCGTGGCTAAAAAATAGGTTGGTTTAAAAAAATTCTAATTAGTCGGGGTTGGCAATTTCAACTAATTAGGACCACTATTTCCTACCATCAGAAGCTCTGCGTGATTAGCATAGCTAAAAAGTTGGGGTTAAGCAACTCAATTGTTTTAGTCATGGTTACTAACCCCGACCATTTGGCAGAATCTTCCCCTCGCTCCGAAATGGGGAATTGGTTAAGGGACCAAATAGTCGGAGTCCCAACCCTGGCTATTTGTGGTGGGTCCCGCCCCCTTATATATATACCAATCGATCCCCTCCCCTCTTCCTTCAGTCGATTTTTTCTCTCCAACTACGGTCTCTCCCATTCATCCGCCAATCCGAGTCTCCCAACCCTATTTTTGTGGCCGAAATTCCTCGAGAAAGTTTGCAAAAGATCTCTAGGGTAATTTCTCTTCCTTCTCTCCTCTTTTAACATTTAAAAATCTAGGACTTTTTTCTTTTCGTCAACATTCAAATCTAGGGTTTTTATCAAAATTCAATATCTAGGGTTTAAAATTTAATATCAATCACTACCTTTGTAGTGGTTCAAATTCTTTGTGTGTGGATTGTTTTAATTGAATTAAAGTTCTAGGGCATAGAATGCTCATTTCTAGGGTTTAGGGTTTTCAGTTTGGGGTTTAGGGTTTTTGATCAAAATTTTAGTTATACAATTATGAGATTATTTGCATCTAGGGTTTTTCTCTCTTATTCAACAGCCTGATAAATCTTTTTTAAATTATTTGCATTTAAAGATAAAATCTAATTTTTTTATAGGTTGAACAGTATAGGTTTTTATTGCTTGCTCTTATGGTGAGAGGGGTAACGACTCCGTTAATGATCTCAGAATCATGTAGTTACTATGACTTGATTAAGGAATTACACCGAGTTAAAATTAATCCATGAGAGTACTTACTAAAAATAATATGCAATAAGCTCATAACTTTTGATAGAACGTTCGCAGTTGAGATCTCAAATAATCATCACATGAGTATTATGTTTAATTTGAGCAAGTCACAACCAATGGTATAATTGTTTATTAAAAAGTTTTCTATGTAGTTCATGCCAAATGTTCAAACCTCCAGGAGAATTCTCACGCATGTTAGATTTGGGAGTTCAGTCTGACGATTTTATTTCTTCTTCGTGTGAATGGAGCGAACTCAATTTTCAGTATCTAAGTGCATCATCATTCGGAGGAATGTTAAATGTTATGAACAATGAAGCCCCTTATGAAAATATGAGGCCTTTAAGAGGGCAGAGATTGAAGAAGATGAAAGAAGCAACGACTCTTAAGGTGAAGAACAAGACAGTGCGCCAATTAATAGCATTCAATTTGTGAATGAATATGTTGAAGAGAATCTTGAATGACTTGATGAAGCTTATGTTAATAATGAATATGTTGAATACGAAGAGCCACCTCCCGACGAGTTTGAAGATGATGAGTGGATTCGTTCTTCTACAGTACAAGATATTGGCATCCGCCAAATTTCAACTGGTAGAAGAGATGAGGACTTCATTTTAAAGTTGGAGATTTATTTGAGACTAAGGACCAATTTAGGGGATGTTTATCATGCAATTTGCATGTAACTCGCTAAAGTTTCATACAACCCCTTAAACGCTTTTTTATCTCAGGTAGCCTCCTTGAACTTAGGGTGTCCACACAGGATCTCTCATGTGATTTTGAAACTTTTCTCAGTACACTCATAACATCTAATATATAAATAACTACAATTTTCTTGAGAGAAAAACCCTTAATTGAAGGGAGTGTATCTTGCATGGAGTACGCATCTTATCAGGCGCTCTTATTGTGACACCACAGGGTTCACACAAGGCTGCAGTCCCAGGTGAAACCCGGATTGTCAAACCTGCCAAGCACCAAACACCATGCTACGACATGTTTTACCATCACAATCACTATCTCTCTAGAGGAAACAATAAATAGGTGAAGGTACGGACAAACAAGAATAGAAATAGAACAACACCGAATGTACACAGAAGAAGCATATAAAAAATCAATAATGAGCCCAACTGGAATAAAATAGACATATCTCTGAGTCTGAGCTGAATCTCAAATACAATGAGTCACATAAATAAAGTCTCACAATAGTTCTCAACTCTATGAAACAAAATACCAATCTAGATTCTGAAAATAATCAACTACATGTGGAGTTCTATAATAACTACAAAATATGATAAGTAACTAAATGGACAACTAGGAAGTCTCATCAACCTGCGACTCTCCGTGCGCCAAACTCGCTGCCTGAAAAGGGGGAAAATAACGAGCATCAAAGCGCTAGCGAGATCATCACTACCTCTTCCCAGGGGAAGGGGTAGGAGTATATAAGAAAATAGAGTTAGTACATACATATATCAAATCATTCATATAACTCTCTATGAACGAAAAACAAATAATCAAATGATAAATACCCCAATCTCCAATATAAAGAATAATCATCTTATCTCGAACTACGTCCGAGTGACCTGCTCTATTATAAGAGGATATCAACAATTGCTAAAACAAAATATATCTGCCGTTCATAACGGGTGCATCAAAATCTCAAAGGAAATACCATACTCGCGGGCAATCTATCATGAAAATAAAGCCTACAACTGATCAAATATCTATGTGTGCATCATCTTGTACTATAGCAATACTTTTGTAATGCTCGTTACTCAATCGCTCTGCGGCAATAGGGTTTATTATTTTCCTATTCCGGATACATATAATAACTATACTGTTATAATACTCTTACTCAATCGTTTTGCGGTAATAGGGTTTATTATTTTCCTATTCCGGATATATGTAGTAATGATACTATTGTAATACTCTTACTTAATCGTTCTGCGGCAAATAGGTTTCATCTCCCTATTTCCGGATACGTATAAAACATTATTATTCATGTGTGTTTATCAATTTAACTCATGTCGGAAGTGTGTAATTCTAACACAATTTAGCATACATACACCAATCTCAGTGTGCGTGTCCACCTCTAAAATTTACCATCATCCCAGGTGTTTAACAGTCAAATAACATCGTAGCCTATCATCATAAGGTCGATAAATTTGATCGACAAACCAAAACCAACCCTCAACAACATGCACAGCCAAAACAAACTGGCGGTTGACCGTGGCGGTCGACCGCGACGAGCTCCAGAGACAACCCAGGTCTCTGTCCTGCACGCGGTCGACCGTGGCGGTCGACCATGGCGGTCGACCATGAACCTAATTTCCAGTTTCTCATGTTCTTTGTATATGTCGTGTTCACGTCGTGTTTTTATGATTCAAACATGATTAAATCTTCATAAAACTTGTATGCAAACATGCTACAACAGATATGGACATCTGGAAACAATTCAACAACTATAAACATGATTTTATGTATTAGATTTGTATTCAAAACCCTAAAACATGCATAAAAGCTCAAACCAACAAATTAAACTTCTTTCTTTATATTAACCATGTTTAAAACTCATCATCAGATCTTAATCATATCTGTAAAAATGCTCTCAACCTTTTTAGCATGGAAAGACCTAATCTTTATACATATAATACAAAAGAGTTATCTTTTATACGAAATCTATTCGTTTTGGCTCTACAAAACATGTTTAAATCTCTTTAAAAATATTTTAAAAACTAGGAGGGGGATTAGTAGAGATGATACTCGCCTGGGGTTGTAGGAAAACTTGTTAGAAGCAACGTCGAAGGAGATCTCCACTCCAAACCCAAAAATCAACAAAAACCCAACTTGAAAGTCTCTAATCTTCTCCAAGAATTCAAAATAGGGTTTATGGGGGTTTGGTGGCTGTTAGGGTTCTTAGATATGATAAAATAAAGGAATTTTTGTGAAAAATATAGGTTTTTATAGAGGCAAACCCGAAACAAACCTGTTTGACCCGAACCAGGAAACCTAGTCTGATTAGGAAAATAACTTTCTGTATTTTGGTTGTAACTTTTTCATCTGACCTCGGAATGAGGTGATCTAAGACTTGTTAGAAATCTGTTGAAGAGACCTACAACTTTGATCTTTTAAACTTTTTCCAATTCTAACTGCATCGGTGTGAAAAATATAAAAACTCATAACTGGTCATTATTCCTAGATTTTTACTCTTTTGGCCTTTGTGCATGTTTTGTGCATTTGCACTCATTTTTTCACAAATATACATTGAATTGATCTCAAATCAATTCTTATCATATTCAAACATCAAAATATATATTTTTTCACTATATAATATATTTATCATTATTTATCATAAAATATTCAAATTTACGGGGTTTTACATTCTTCCCCCCTTAAAAAAATTTCGTCCTTGAAATTCCACAATCGCATCTCAAAGCTCAAAAACTGAGAAAATACAATAAGAAGGTGTAATTCATATTAAGAATTCCTTCTGCACCCATCTCATAGTATTAGCACAATGATATTTAAAGTTAACAACCTAGAATGCAAACATTCTCCAATAAATCCCTAATTAAACGAAATTAGTATGTCGAGCGAAATAATCCAAACAAGGAAACCATCATGTTTATACCATATGTTTCAAATGATTAAGGATCAGGTGACAATATCTCCATTCTAGTGTTAAAGATAAATATCGTGACAATATCTCCATTCTAGTGTTAAAGATAAATATAAATGTGGCTAAACAACATAGATAAAGACTACTATCAAAGCATATAAGCATAAGAATTTATCAACATCATACATATCCAAACTGGTGTGGGTAGTCGCGACGAACATCCTCCTCGTGCTCCCAAAAAAAAATCTCTTCGGCTCCTTGCCGGTTCCACTGAACTTTCATTAATGGAATGACTTTATTCCTAAGCTTTTTATTCTCTCTAACAAGTATGC